GGGTGGAGGGTCAAGATCACGTTTCACGGAAAATAAATTGGTTCTTTCACAGTTCACGGGAGATAAAATCGGCATTTCACGTTTCACAAAAAAAATGCATTCTTTGAACTTTGAACTTACGCAAGTTACGAACTTGCGTAACTTGTGATATTTGAAAAGTTACGCCCAAAGCACAGCCTTGTTTGATGACTTTGCCATTCGTCCTCTTCTTGGTCTCGGCGCAGCAAAAAGAAAATCGAGTTGCTTGTTTTTCTTACATGACTGAGGGCACCACTCTCCTCCACCGCTACATCATCTGATTCCCTGTCGGACTTGTCTTCATCGTATTTAGAAAGTTGATCACTCCCAGAATCCCATGATGAAATTGCATCCTCTCTTCGTCTATCTTCATTTTCTGGTGCAAACTGTAGCCGTTCTTCCTGGTGGACAGCAGTCTGGTACATGTTCAGAGCAAGTTAAGAGTTCCAGCATTGTACTTCGTTGTTTCTTGTCGGACAGTGCGTTGTCTGACGCATTTACTGTAGGCGTTTGCCCAGTTCCCCATTAGTTAAACTCACGGAAGGGTGCATTTCCTGTGTGTGCGGCAATAAAAAGCGGACCACTGCGTCATCCTTTTCGCCGATTCCAGGGCTGTACTCCCAAAATCTCTGGCGTTGTGTAGGTGGATACAAGTGGGATACTTAAAATGAGAAACCGCGGGGAGGTTCTCCACTTTCCCGCTAAGGAGAGTGTCCGGATTGACTGTTACTTCTGGGTTAATTTTCGCAAATTTTTTTGCAACCTTGACAGTCCCCGGTTAATCATGTCAACAGACTTTACTGTCTTGTTTGCTACAGTTCTTTCTGGTCCATTGGTCTGCGTGGCGTGTGTCCAATGTCCATGCAGTCACGTCTGCACAGATTATACGGTAACTTGAAGGTAATCAGAAACGGATTTAAACTCTCTCCCCCTTCTCGTAAGGTTGCAGTATGCGTTCGCTTGTGCTTTGAAGAGCTGACAATACTTTGTAAGATGCTTTCACGTTCCTGAAGATAGTGCATTTCGTTTTCCCACTGTTGTTGGGTTCGAATGCAAAGCTTTCCACAGCTCCTGGCGAACGAACTGATCACATGAAGGAGCAGTCAATACTGCTCCCAACCGGATCCTTTTGCCTCAGCAAGAGATCTCACGTCTAACGGTCTTACTGAGTCCAGTACAACTTTTTCAAAGGTATCCAATGTTAGTTTCGAAACGCGTACCTTGTGTACAGTTCCTCTTATGTTCGTTTGTTAATGCTTATCACTTAATAAGTTTCTTATTTCAGTTAGTTTCATTTAAGCACATGTACCACGCATCGATATTGTATTTTATACTTTATTGCTATATAAGTTGATGTCGGTACTACCAATTTTGTCGGCTATTCACGAATCATCTGCTATTAGCGAGTTATCGACAATCATTAGGAGCTAGACAAAAGTAAGTTTTTCTTTATTTTACATTTAAGATATTTCCCCTTTTTGGTACATACATGGGTTTATTTCTCGCTTTTAATTCACTTTATAATCGCTTCATTGTTAATTAGGCTAGTGTTATATTTCTCAAGGATATTTTCTTAGTTTAGTTTCGGCTATATATTCTTTTAGTTCGAACCACACAAACTCAGCCACACAAATTCAGCTACAAGCATCAATTACAACTACGCTATCTTCAATCTATACGACATTTTTCTCTGAGGGTCCCCCCAAAAAAACACGGGACTGTTCATGGAGATGCGCGTATATATAAGAATTAAAAAAAGTCTGCGTCAGGCCAGTAGCTCATACAGCCTAAGCGACGAAATATTTCTACTCTCCCTTCCCCCTGGATGGGATGCTAGTCCATCACATGGTCACTCTCCGTTTGAAATTCGGCTCCACCCATGCATTTCACGTTTCACCCTCACAACCACTCAGTTAAAGCCATTATTCTTAAACTTTAAATTACTTAAAAACGATCCAGAGACTGGCACTATCTTTTCGTAACCTCCACTTATTTCATTCAAACGCGACAGAAAAATTGGCAATTTTTTGGCCATAAGTTCATTACAAACTAACGACCAACCCGGCACTTTTAAATGCGGTCGCGCACGATGCAGAACTTGTCCGTTCATTCACAACACTGAGAAAGTATCGGGACCCAAGCGATCCATTAAGATCACCGATCACTTTACGTGCACCTCCGCCAACGTAATCTATTGCATAACTTGCACTTATTGCAAAAAGTTATACATCGGCGAAACAGGAAGACGACTAGGTGACCTATTCCGAGAACACCTTCGCGACGTAGAAAGGAATGACCAGGACGCATCAAAACCAGTCGCTAGACACTTTAATTTACCTAATCATTCTAAACAACATATGGCAATCTGCGGTCTTTCCTTACATTTAGGCAACACGGAAAGCCGCAAAACTCTTGAACAAAAGTTTATCTTTCAAATCGGCACTCTTAATCCCACAGGTATCAACGAACGCTTTTCATTCCACTAATTTATTCGTGTTTTTCTCGTGCG